AGGCCCAGAGACACTCGTTGGCCTCACAGAAAGCCAGGGAAGGACGAAGGCAGTCACAGATTAAAATCTCACCGGAGAAGTTTGATGTATTTTATTTTAGATTTTTACTCTGTGCAGCAACACTTACCCAAGAGAGATGACCTTTGCCTACCAAAAGGCAGGGATGGAGCAGCCTGTCCAGTCCCCAGGCCTCGTCTGCCCGGCAGCAGGGAGTGGGGGGACCCCAGCCCCAGCCCTCAGGGCACCGCGACAGTCGCCTGGCAGGGACGCTCTTGCCCGTGGGTAGGCGTGAAGTCAGTCTGATGTGTTGGATGCTTCTGGTGAGAGCTTTTGACTCCGTTGAAAACATGTCTACTCGCTTGAAGTTTGCAGTTTCATCTGCCTTTCTGTGGGGCTCTCTTAGTGACTGAGACTTTACTTAAGCCACAGGCAGTCCCTCGGGGAGAGGAAGCACTGACTCTTGTCTGCACACGTGTGTGAATTCTTGCACCCAGTAAGCCTGGAATAAAATGCCTCGGTGTGTCACGTCCTATGTGTGGCCCCAGCTCACCTTCTCTTGTCAACGTTCATGTGCTCTTTGGGAAGAAATTCCTCACCCCTCCATGTGTTTAAGAGGTGGACCGAGTTCTGATCTCTGGCTGTGCAAGATTTTCTGTGGGTTCTCAGAACTGGCCTTAACAGATGAATAGTGTGTGGAGGCAACGTGTGGTCAGTTCAGTGATTCTGGAAGGCAGTGATGATTTAAGTGGTCCCCATTGTGCCTCCATGTCCAAAACCAAGCAACCATGAAGTCATCTTGCCACTGCTTGTCATTTTCTCCATATCTTGTTTATAGGAAAATAATGACATTAAACGGGTAGCAAAAGGCAGGAAAAAAAAAAAAGCACTTTCTAGGCTGAAGGCTACTGCTCATTGATTCTCTCTAGCAAAATAAAAAGTTGCTTCTTGCCCCTGGGACTGCCATTGGTTTGTGAGGTCCCCAGATGCTTTTTTAGTTCCTAGTGAACTTTGCAGAACCCAGGGCTTCTGTCTTCAAGTCTTTCTTACCTTATCAGCACCCACTCTAAGGACCAGCTGGGCGACAGGCTGAAGAGGTGGGGGCAGGGGCAGGTCTGGGAGCTGAGGGGAGGGAGGGGCTCTGCACCCAGACTGTGTCCTGGGGGGCCCTTCATCACACCACACATGGTGACTGACCCAGGACATTTTGAAAAAATGTACTTGCTGAACTACCTTCCTATCCTCTAGCTTTGGAAAAAATGAGGTCTTGTGTTTGGAATCAGCCTGAGAACAAAAGCTGGATGTTGGGACCAGTCTGCCTTGGAGCTCTGGATGGGCTCTTGGTGTCTTGTTGAGTCTGGACAGGGTGACTCAGATTCTGGTTTGGGTGCCTAGAGAGGATGCAGGCCTAACGCTGCCTGCCTTGAGCTTTGCAAACCTTCCTGACTTTTTATAAAATCTTGTTTCCTCTCTTCTCAGCAGATATTACTGAGATCATAAGAACTGTCTGGTTGAAAAGGTAATTTGAAATATTTGACCCTGAAAAAAAAAATAATTGACCCTGTACATTGCTTTTGTTTAGAAACCACCTCTGACAGAAAACACCCTCAGTATCTGTTAGATCTGGAATTTTTTTCTGAAAATGAATGTTCCATTTGACTTTTCCTTATACCAGTAAATGGCATTTATACACTCTTAGGCTTGAAACAGAGGAATGGGTCCTGACGTGTTTTCCCTTCTTTAGTCTAGATTATATTTTTATTCCATTGGATGTCATTTCTCAACCTTGGGGACTTTTTTCTCCCCCTTTCTAGTTTTTCTTATTCCATAAATAGTACAGAAAAAAGTTACCTACAGGCCCACTGAACTTGAATCACTGGCAACTTGCCTAGAGTAAAATTTAGATTATGGATCCTTTAATAGTGCATCTTTTTCATAGGGTTAGTTTGTTGTCCACATTTTTATGCCAAGACTTTAATTCAGGTGACTTGCTTATTAGACAGCTGGGAGTGGCATGTTTTCTTTGGGATGCATTGTACACAAAGGCCAGAGAGCCTTCATTAAGGGGTTAATAGCCTGGACCGTACTGAACTATCAGAACTTTTATGGTTCTAGTGGAACTTGTCTCAAATGACCTTAATCAGCTTTGTTGATGGGATTAGGGCGAGGCCCGAAGTTTCTTTTCCTAATTATGCCTCAGAGGAGAGAAGATGTGACACAGTTGATTCAGGGGATAGTTTGTATGGGACTTGGTAATAGTCTGAACCTGTCAAATCTGAGTTGTCTTTGGAGGACACTGCTAAACCCCAGTAGGAAGCACCCCGCTTTACCAGGGAATGAGGACAGTGTAGGGGCCTGGTGTCCATGCCAGTCAGGGCCAGGTCTAACTGATGGCTGCCTCCCTCTGCGGGCCGTTTTGCTTTCCTGCCTTTTCCAGAATCGGTTTTGCGAGTTTTGAGACTCTGTTCCCCTGCAGAAGCGAGGAAGGCAAATCATTAGGGGTTAAAGGGAGAACTGACTGGTCCAAGGCTGGGGGAGGGCCAGCTCCCCGGGGGAAGACGAGAGCGGGAGGCCTGGATGGACCCCCAAGCTGGCCCAGACCCACACAGGGGCTGCCTACTTCCGGCGGGTTCACTCTGTAACCCAAAATGAGTTTTCCAATCCTGCCTCATGGTGAAACTGATGTATGTGGATAAAACCAGTGCTTTTAATAACTTGATTTTGATGTGGTTCCCTCGAAGAGAATGTAGGGATTGAAACTATTTGTATATGTTGAAGTTTGTAGGGGTTCAGGAACCCGTGGCAAAAACACTATTTATTACAGGTATGACTGTATGTTTTTTTTTTTTCCCCAAAGTAGATAATTCTGTCTTTGTATATTTTAAGACAAATAATAATCGCTTCACCTTCGGTGCCTTCCGTGTGTCAGTCACATAAACACTTGTCAATCATGGAATTGAAAAAAAGATGTACATTTAGTTAAACCAGATGACACTATTTTTGTAGCATGATTTTCGATTGTGTCCTTTTAATATTGCTTTTAGCAATGATGGTTTTGAGGTTTGGCCATTATCCCTTTAAACTTCGTTACGTATTTTGAAAAAGAAAAAAAAAAAACCACCCCACCTTGGCTATTCCTGTCTCCTCTCTGCTGCTTTCTCTCCCCAGCGACTTGTTTCTGCTTATTTCAACAGTCTGAGAGTAAGAGTATATTTCTGTGAAATAATTATTAATCAGTATAACTGCATTTGGCATTTTTAAACTACTTGGTCAGTTACAGCGAGCAACTCCTCACCTCAAACAGAAAGAGGAAAGTGGTTTCATAAAAAAGAATAGATACCCGCAGTGCTCTGACTTCCCCGCTTTGGGTCGGCAACGGCGAAGAGCCCCGTTATTACCGGGCTGGTGAGGCCGAGGGCCTTCTCGGGCCTGGTGTCCTCCCGGACCGGCTCAGGCCCCCCCTCCCGCTCTGCCCGCGGGAGACAGGCTGCCCCGGTGGCCTCCGCCGGCTGGCCCTCTCCTGGGACCTCACGCTGGTTTATGGATGCGCCGGGTGGGTTCGGTGGCCCTTTCCGGTTTTCTGCCTGGACAAAATAGATGCCCTGCTATGAGGAGCTTGATGAAATCGGGACTCGGCTAACACTCTAGCTGCTCCTTCGGCTTTCCCACCCCCGTAGGACTCGGGTTCTTTCCGGTCAAGAAAAATCTCGAGTAAACTAGCTGAGTCGTTGCAACATGAAGGAATGGGTTTATTGAAACATACGGTTGTAGCTTCTTTTTTGTCCTTTTGAAGGGTCAGAATATGTAATTATTTTAACAAAGGAAGTCAAGTCAGATGGCTAATAACTCTAATACGATTATTCATTGTTACTTGGCCTGGTGGCACTTTGGGGGGCAATGTTAATTTAATAACTATTACATTTTGCTTCTTAAAAGTCTATTTCCTTTACTAGTTTGGACACAGCTGTGGGGCATTCTGAGGTGATGCCCATTTGGCACACGTTGGTTTATGCTGTTGGTGGGTCTCCTGGCTTCTCGAACCCTGGCTCGTGGGTTTGACTGTATCCATGTGGAGTGGTTTCGGGGCCCCAAAGTCTTTGCCCCTGGTGGCTTGTCCCTGACAGCAGATAGGGGCCTCACATTGCCCTCGATTTTGCCCCCTTATTTCTTTTGAAGGACCTATTTTTCATGGTACTTGTCCTGATCGTTTTCATAGTGTTCAAATCTGTATTTTTGTATGTAGAGGGAAATAATTTTCTCAACACTAATCGCTAATAAATATTGTATTAAATCGTCATGAAGGAATTTTTGTTTAATAAATGGACACGTAAAAGCGGCATTGTCTCTGTCCTCTGACTTCCCTTCTGTCCCTTCAAAGGTGTGGACCCCATTCCCGAAACAGGCCTGGGAGGTGGAGGCTGAACAAAGTCCACGTCCACGAGAGAGGCCACGGGATGGGTGTGGACAGGCAGTGTGGCTGGCTTAGCTGGGCAGGCAAGGAGGAGCAGAAACGCCCGCCGTGTACCCCTCTCGGCGTCTGCACGCTCAACTTTCAGACAGGTTTTCGAACGTGTGCAAAAGTCCGGGCAGAATGCCTGGGCCAAATGCTGACCCAGGGTCCTCCCAGGCTTCGACTCCGAGGTCTCTCATGCAACCAGTTTCCCAACCACAAGAGCCCCAGGTTCGGGCCACCTCAGAGGTGCCTGGGTCGTTACCCTGACGCATAAGTGAGAGAGCCCGGGGCCCCCTCCAAGGGGCTCTGGTGAACCTGGGCAAGTTCCTGAACCTTCTGTTAGTTTCCTGGACTGTGAGCCAGGATTGTGTGAGGAGTGCGGGAGAGCACATGTGTCAGACGCGTGGGGTCCTGGTGTGGAGCAGATGCGCGCTGCTGCTGAAACCCGGAGCCGTCAGGACTCACCGGCGGCAGGCCCTGTCTGTGCTGGACGGGACACGTGCCCGCACTGCTCTGGGTGGTGGAGGGGTTTTCAAACATACACTCCAAGCACGCAGTCAGTCTGCTTTAATCCATTAAGGCTTTTTTCACATGCAAGAGAAGAACAAAGGTTACAAATGCCCAAGACACGGGTCCAGATCTGGCTCATTCATGAGGCTTCTTGGGTCAGAGGAAATGCCATTTAAAAAGCTACTTTTGTGTAAAAAAAAAAAAAATTACATAAAGTTACAAAATCCCACTGAACATACACACGCAGCACATGTCTCTAGGTCAACACAGAAGGCACAGCTCCCCTCTCGAGAGGCAGTCAGGTGTCGAGAAACCCTGTCATCCTGAGTGCGCGAGAGCCCCTCGCCTGCTCCTGGGCCCCCGGGAAAGAGGGATCGGCTGGGCCTGCCCAGCCCCCCAGAACGCTGTCAGTTACTTCACGGTTAGGTACCCTTGACCTTTTGGACCTGGTACAACTGTCTTACCACCCGGAGAAGACGTGGCTCCCCAGGGTGGCTCCCCGTAACAGGCACCCTGACCTGCTCGCTCCTGGATGAGAGCAAAGGTCGGTTTTCTCCCTGCTTCAAAAATGAAGAGGGTACTGGTGTTCCTTGAACAAGAGAATCTTGGAAGGATCATTCTCGACAAAGTGCCTCGCATGAGTGGGACACCAAATGCAGACAAAAATCCCCGGGGCCTAGCAGGTGGGCCCTGTGGTGGCTTCGGTCCTACCCCCCCCCGCCCCCCAGCATGAAATGCTTCCTGTGACGGAGGTAACAAGGCTCCGTCAGCTCTGTCCCCTTGTGCTTATTTTTGGCAGAGAGGTTACAAGGCTTAAGGTCTGTGGGGCAGAAACGAGGAGACGTGGCGGAATATTCACGATGCCCCCGCGTGCGCAGTGGTTAGAGGGTGCCGGGTCGGATGCCGGGCTCGGGCGTGTCACTCTGGGGCCCTGAGGAGGCCAGCTCTGTCAGCAGCTCCCACTGGCGCTGGAGAAGTCGGCGCTGCTCTCGCAACTCGCGCGGTGCCCTGGCCGGTCGGCCGCCCGGTCCCGAGGTGCAGCAGGGGGGGCCCGCGCGGCTCGGGCTGCCGGGGCGGGGCAGGCCTTCAGTCAGACTCGGAGTCGGAATGCTCTGCTGAAAGCGAAGCAAGGGGGACGCTTGGCCGGAGTGTCCAGGCCAGCGGTGCCGGGAAGCTGTTTCTGGGGAGACTGGCTGGGTTTCCGACTGTTGCTGGTGTCAGCTTGGTGTGAGGGCTGGCCCCGGGCCTGGGCCCCTGCAGGGGCAGCTGCCGTCCCCTCCAGGGCGGGGCGCGTGCAGCGGGGAGCCCACATGCCCCTCCAGAGTCACCCCGGGCCGTTCTCACCTGGGGTGTTAGCGTGATATATCTGCACCCCAAATTCAACCCTACCCTGCAATTCAGCAGGGCAAGGTGAGGACAGCTATTTTCAGGCACAAGAAAGTAAAATATACTAGAAAATCAGGAAGCTTTCTTTTAACCAACTTACAGTTTCAATCCCCCTTGCCCCCAATCCTAATATTATATGGTGATCAGAACCATTTTATGATGTCAAGGGCCTATCTAAGGTATGACTCAAGGGCTCCTAGAAATCCATTACCGAAGAGTACTCTCTAGAGCCTTCTGGAACGCCCCCCCCATTCCAGGAAGGAAAGACACCCAAGTTGCTAACCCTCCTTCCTCAGCCCCAGTGCCAGTTGCTATTTTCAGGGAGGGACACCCCTTCCCTGGCCAACCTCGGTCTCTTTGAACCCCAGTCTGTCCTCACACTGTTGCCGGGTCATGGATGAGCTCCGAGAGCCTCCACAAACCCTGACTCCCTAGCCCTGTATGATTTTGTGGGTTTGCTGTATTCATTCTAACACAAGCTAGGAATCATTTTACAGCAAAAAAAAAAAAAAATCATCATACATATATCTCCAAGTGTCAAAGCCCACAATACTCAAACACACATCTCCACTGACGCTTCCTACTTGTTCACTGGGGTGATGGGCTAGAAGCACCCAGGGCAGGCAACTGGTAGCAGGTCCCAAAGGCCTAAGGAAAATGTCTAGGGACACTGAACCTAGGAGTGGCTGAAGTACAGGATGGGATGAGATGAGTCTCACATATTTTTAGCAGAGGGATGCTTTCTGCAGAGCTTGCCCGAGTCTGCGGATAAGGAGAGCCTGGTTCTCTGGCCCCTGAGCAACGGGCCGGTGAAACTGGGCAGGGGGGTGGGTTTCAGGGCAGGTGGCCGCTCAGCAGCCCGGGCTCATCATGGAAGGTCTCACCGAGGAAAAGGCCCTCAGCATGCCTTTCCTGGAAAGGCAGAGGCCCTGCGGAGCCAGCCTGCTTTATGATCAGTGCCCCAGGAAGGGATAGGAGAACCAGGCTGTGAACACACTTCCTGCCCATATGGAGAGAGAGGAAATGCTCCTCCAGTCTCAAACTGGCCAAGTATCCCTAAGGGAGAGCAGGGTCCCCAGCAACAGTCCTGGGTTGAGAAGCTGGGTTCCCAGGTGAAAACCCACAGGGGGGCCACCCACCTTCCTCCTTGTCAGCTGTGTTCTCTTCTGCGGAGTCCCCTTGCTTGAGGAATTTGGCCACGTCATTAAAGATCAGGTAGAAATCGATTGCAAACACGATGGTGGCAAAGAAGCCAAACACCTGTGGGATAGGGAACAGGGTGGATGGGACCCATCATCAGGAGCTGGGAGTCCCTGGTCTGAGAGCCCAGGAGAAGCGGAGAAGCTGCCGCCCCGCTCAATCAGCTCGGATAAGGAGCTCGGATTGGCAAACACAGACCCGTCCCGGTACCGATAAGTAGGAAAATGAGCTGTTATCTTGGTTGGGCAAACAGCCTTCAAAACTCAGGGCAGATTAAATCTCCAATAAGAAGACTTTGGAATCGCTGAGATCCACGTGAAAACCCAAGGGGCCTCTGCGGGGACAGACTGTGCCCCAGACATTGAGTGTCCAAGGGGCATCTGGGGCTCCATCAGGGGTGGGGTGAGCTTGAGGGGGGCATTGCTGGGCAACCTCTTCCAGGGCTAGGGTGGCTACTCACCCCAGCTGCTTTGGAAGCCCCGTCCGAGTACTTGGCGACAGCTGTGATGGAGATGGCAAAGTAGATGAGAGCCGCTGTGACACAGCGCAGGAAGTCCTGGGGGGAGGTGGGCATGGTCACCGCCCTGGGCTCCCAGGAGTGGAGTACAGCTGGGAGCCCAGACCGGGGCAGGGACTCAGAAGGGCACCAGGCGGCAGGAATGGGGCTGGAACCCACTGTTCCCAGGGGATGATGGGCCCCGAAGGCTGGACACACACCCGGCGCCCGCAGGTCCAGCATCCGTGGGGCTCCCGCCCTGTCCTGGCCCCACCTTGCACTCCCTGGTCCTTCTCCCACCCCCATTCCTGCCCCTGCCCAGGTGCCCCTGGAGGCTGCCCTGTTCCCGGTCCAGCTGGCTGTCCCCTGCCCGGTGGACAACAGGATGTGGGCCAGGCTGCAGCTTGCCCTCCGGCCGGGCCCACGTACAGATCCCATTTGGTGAGAAAGACGTTGGAAACCTGGTCACCTGCTCCCTGCTGGCTCTCCAGTGGGGAGATCTGACCCTGGGCCTCACTGAGCCACATACTTGTGGCAGATCCATTTATGTATCATGGTTTCTGCTCACCTGTCCCTAAAATGGGGACACAGGGTGCAGCCCAGCAGGAAGCATATTGGATATGAAGTCAAGAGACCAGAGTGCAATCGCAGCCTTTCTGTCCCTTCTCAAACAGCAAAGTTTGAGGTGGGGCTCTGAGGCCTCCCAGGTGACTGCCTAAGCAAGTTGCCAGACGGCTGAGGTCTTGGTAAGCCCTGCAAGTCCTCAGTTAACCTGTCCTGCCCTTGTGGAAATGGCTTGAATTCCTGCGGCTGAGGCTCATTCCGGCAGGCCCAGCTGGGAGCACCAGCGCCACCTGGTGGCCAGGGGCCAGGACGCCAGCGGGGCTTCCCCGCCTCACCCAGAGAGCTCCCGGAGGTAAGGCAACGGCTCTGGGTCACATGGCTGCCGGGTGGAGGGTCCTGGCTCCAACCAACCAGCACACTGAAGAAAGGGTGAGGGCCGAAATGCAGCCAGCCCCTTCCTCCTAGGGCCCAGCCCTCACCATCATGGGCCAGCACAAGCCCTGCCACTTGTCATTCAGCTGCATGGCATCGGCAAAGAGGAAGTAGAGGGCCAGCAGGAACTCCAGCAGAGGCGCTGCGAGGAAGGCGGATGCAGAGGATGCCACATAGCAGACAAAGGTGATGAACGAGAGACCCTGGAGGTGCGGGAAGGTAAAGTCAGAACCTTTGCACAACCCCCGGCCCAGGGTTCTGCAGCCAAGCACAGAAGACGCTCCAGCAGGGGAGGCCACCTGCCCACAGTCCTGCAGCTGCCAGCATTAGAACCCCATTATGGGGCCCTGGCCCACACCCGTGCTGCCCCAATGCCTCTGGGCACGGCTCTGCACCCTGATCCCGTGCCAGCACCCTGCCAGGACCCAATCAGGAAGCCCAGCTTCCCACATGGGTCTAGCCCTCCTGGGGCTACGTTCCACGTCCTCCTGCTGCTCACCTCGCCCCCCACCCCAGCAGGCTCTATGGCAGGATCCACCCAACTCAGATGGTGCCCAACAGGGCAAATCAAACCTAAGCAGTCTCTAAGGCAGCTCACGAAGCAGAAACCATTTCAAAAAATTACACCCAACTCCCAAGAATGTGACTTTTAGCTGAAAACCAATATACAAACCTTGAATTTAGTTAATGATATGCATGCTGAAGTGTTCAGAGTTGAAATGTACTGATGCACGTAATTTATTCTGCATCAAAAACTAATTGGTGGCCAGACAGATGGATGAGATATGTGATAAAGGAAATCTGACAACAGGGTAACAACTGTACAATCTGGGCGGTGGGTATACGGGCGCTAACGGTAGAACTCTTCGGGTTTTCTGTTTGCCAATTCATACGAAGAAAAAACCCTCCAGGAGGGGGAGTGTTGGCCTGACACTTCAAGCCCTGCTGCATCATCCACCCAGCCTTTGTGCAAAGGGCAGGCCACGCTAAGGAACAAGGATCAGAGTTCTCCGCAGCCCTGCCCACACGCCGTGGGTGGGGACTGATGCCAGGAGATGCTGAGGTCCCCGGCTAGTTCTGCAGATCGTGTGCCCTGCAGGGCAGGGCAGACCAAGAGGAGGGGCTGTTTCCCGGGCCAGGGCCTGAGGCTTGGAGCATCCTCGCAACCACCCACGCACTGGTGCTGCTCACAGCCCACCTCACAGATCAGAAGACTGAGGTGCGGACACTTCACAGGTGAAGTGAGTTGCTCAGTGTCATGCGGCTAATAACAAGGCATCAAAACTTGAACCCAGGGCTGGCTGGCCACACAGCTCTAGTTCCTAAGCAACCCTGCCCTATGGGAGCTGGCCTTTATCTGTCCTGTCACTATGACTGGGCGGGTTTGAACATGTCCACGGCTCAGTAGCTTGGAGTGGGGCCCAGGGGGCCCTGTAGGGACACCCAGATGCCCCACAGGAAATGCTGTGGCTGCTTCAGACAGATGAGCTGCAGAGATCCCAGGGAGTCCCCAGGGCACCCAAATTTGCCTTGACCATGGCCCGGGAATTAGCCGAGTTCAATTTGAACAGATGTGAAATTAAGGCACAGAGAGGGGCCTCCCAGGAAAGCAAGGCCAGGGGGCCCTGACCCAGCCCTGTCCCTAGCTCCTGCTGTACGTCCTCCTGGGAAGGCTGTCATGGTCCCTCCCCTTCCTGTCCACCGGCCCCCAAAGTCAGATTCTGGGGAACCCCCTCTCCACTCCTGTTTCCTTATTCCCTGATTCCTGGTGGCTACTTCCTCCCCTTTCCCGTCCCTGTCAGCCTCCCCACTTGCTTGGGCCTGGAGGCAGCCAGAGGGGATCACAGGGAGAGAAGAGTGGCCAGAGTGGCTCCCCTTGTGATCAACCCTAACCTGTTCCTCCCTACTCCTTCATCCTCCTAGATCAGCTACACCAAGGGCCTCCCCTATAAGGTGGGCTGAGTGGGGTTGGGGTTGGCTTCCCTCACTGGCCTGTGGATTTAAGGCTTCTGTGCAAAAGGGGCTCTCATCAGTCTCCAGGGTGGGGCTGGGGTTGCCAACCACAGGCGACTCCCTGGAGTGTGGGCTGAGTCCTGGGTCCCGGTGCCTCACTTGGGAGCTGGGCTGGTGACCTCCAGGCTGACCCCAGGGGCAGAAGAAGTGCCAGGATGGCCTCCTGCCATCTGCCCTGGGCAGTACGAAGGAGAGGTGTGGGGCAGAAGCTTCCTTCCTCTGACCTCCACTCAGCCTTGCTGTCACCTGGCCCGCAAGTGACCCACCTGTTAAATTCCCTAGATGCCCTGGCCTCAGCTTTCTTGTCTGCGAAGTGGGAATAACGACAGGGACTGCCAAACTGCCATAGATCTAAGTAACAAGAGCTGTTCCTTATCTCACCTCCCCTGCGCCCGGCCACTTCGTCCCCTTCCCTGCACGGAGGCCCAGCACCAAGCCCCCGCCCCACCCGCGGATGGTGCAGGAGTGTTCGTAGTGTCCCCAAGACAAAGGCCTGACGGGCCGGGGTGGGGGTTGCGGGCAGGAGGAAGGAGCTCGGCGGGGGCGGGGCGGCTGGATCCGAGCGAGGGGGGCATGAGGGGGATGAAGTCACCCCGCTGGGCTCCCGCCCCCTGCACCCGGGGGGAGGGGTCTGCCTCCGCGCCCCGCACTGTGCGGCCCCGGCCTCACCCAATCCCGGGGGTCCCCTTCCCACTTCCCGCTGTTCCCCGTCTTGGCTGGCCGGAGTCCACCCCGGCCTCCGCCCCGCAGCTCGAGGCCCGGCCAGCCCTCCCTGCGCCCAGGAAACCGGGCAAGGGCGCGGAGAGCCGACCCCGGCCCCGATCCGGGCGTCGTGAAGCGCCGAGCGGGCTGATTCCTCCCGGGGCGCAGCCGGGGATGGCGGGAGGGTTTGCGGAGCCGAGTGCCCGCGACGGAGGCCAGAGGATGTGGGGCTGCAGCCCGCTCCGGGGGCCCGGAGAGGGCGGAGGCGCCCGGGGTCACACAGCGTCAGGCTGAGCTCCCAGGGGCCCGGCCGCCGCGTCAGCGGGCCGCGGTCCCAGGCGTCCCGACCGGCCCCCCACGTTGGGTTAGGGAGCCCCGAGGGCCTGGGTTCGAGCCCCGCCTCGCCTCTGCTTCGCGCGCTGAGCTTCGGCGCCACCCGACGCCTGGGGAAGTGCGCCCAGCTCCGCCCGCTTTCCGCGGCTCCGAGGGCTCGGCGGTCCCGGGCGTCCCGACGGCGCCTC